TGATCCACCACAGCTCTTGACAGGGTGTTTTGTAATGTTCACAAGAAATATAAGTTTACTTTTAGATTATTAAAAGATTATTAGGCTGTCAAAATTTTCTGTATAGTAAAAAATCGTTACCACTGCCGCCGCTGTTTTGAGAGTTCAACTTAATGTTGTATTTTGTTTTGCTTCACAAAAAACTATTAGGCTTAAAATTAAAAAGGTGTGTAGAAAAATGCACAAAAATATGATATAATTAAAAATTTTCCATTCGATAATCAGTTTGAGAATTATTAACTAGTTAACTTTTCGTAAAAAAAAAATACCATGACGGCCGCTCTACAAGCCACAGAATTGTAATTACAGAGTTGAACATTGACGTACTGAAAGAGTCATATTTTTTTATGAACTCAACACCAGTTTTTTAATCGTTCTAATTTTTTCGAAAGTATTTCTTTTTTTAAGAGCTTTTATAGTAAAATTTTTTTCTTCCTCTTTTTGGTTTAAATATTGACTATACATCCTAATTTGAAAAATTTTTTTCTCTCGAGAGCCATTATTTTATAAAGCTGTCGCTAAGATTGTTTTCAAAAGTAACAAAAGAAAGAGGCACTTGATAAGATGTCCCTAGATAAAAATCTTATCGCTTAGAGACAAAAACACTTCCTTATTTTCTTACTTAAATTGTTATAGCTTTCATTAACGAGTAAAGTTTCTTCTTATCGACTTTTTTTTAAGTCAAGCAACTTTTTTTTTTTTTTTTTTTGNTTTTTTTTTTTTTTTTTTTTTTTTTTTTTTTTTTTTTTTTAATGGCGGGAACTTGGGTCTACAATTTGTATTTCGTAGGTTAAAATTTTTGTGATTTTTTTTCAAAGCCAGTTTAATGTTTTCTTCGAGTAACATAATTATATAATGTTCTTATNGCACTTGATAAGATGTCCCTAGATAAAAATCTTATCGCTTAGAGACAAAAACACTTCCTTATTTTCTTACTTAAATTGTTATAGCTTTCATTAACGAGTAAAGTTTCTTCTTATCTATTTTTTTTTAAGTCACACAATTTGTATTTCTTAGGTTGAAATTTTGTTGTATGTATGATTGTTTTTCAATGTATGATTCTTTTTCAAATCCAGTTTATTGTTTTCTTCGAGTAACTTTAATTATAAAATGTTCTTATGTAAAACTGAAATAATTGTATATTTTGTTAAGAAAATGTTCTTTGTTTTCGTAGAAAGTATTAGCATTTAAGAAAAAAAAAGCAATGGTCGAAGAGAAACAATTAAAGGGATAGGTAAGAGGGGTGATTAGGGAGCTGAATCTTCTGGTATATAAATAACAATTTTAAAATTCAATTAGACCTATAAAATCTTGCGTTTTCTCGATTAATTTTTAAGTAGCTGAAAATCATTCAATAATTTTAAAATATTTTATGTAACTCCTTGATCTATGGTACATTCTTTAAGTTCATCAAATTTTAATAAATTAGATAGATCCAAGAATGTGTTATACTTATATATAGGAAACATTTTCCTCATCAGGTAATAATAATTATATAATAATAATGATGATAACAATAACAACAATATCAATTTGAACACTCAAGAGCCAAGTTGATATCTTTTCCTTAATTAATTATTGCGTTGCTGAAAATTACTTATTAAATTAGTACACAAACATTGCATTGAATTTAATAGTATCAGTTTCTTTTAATTTATTCTATATTCAAGCGTATTAAGAGCATTTTTCTTAGAAGTATCCAAATAGCATAAATATTAAAAAAAAAACTCTTTAAAAAATTTACTCTTCTAAATTTACTTCTCTAATTTAAAGGATGTTAAATTATTAGAGAATTTAATAAATCTGAATAATCAAAGAAGTTATCAATTCGTCAACAGGAATAATTTTATCCACCTCAATTTTTTTTGACGAAAAAAAAAGCGAAAGAAAAAATGAAAGAAAGAAAGGAGAGAAAGAAAATAATAATAATAATTTGAACGCTTGAAAGTTAAGTTTGTAATTTATGATGTGTTCGTGTTTTTTGGACTATTTAATAAACTTTAGATTAAGGAACTTACGAAAAAACCAACAGAAAGCATTTTTTCCATCTCATTCAATTTCGCAAATAATAATAAAAACACCAAGTTTAAAGTTAATTTTAAATCTTTAAAATTTTTCCTTTCCTTTATTTGTTTTTATGCTATTTGAAATTATTTATTAACTTATTAAAAGCATTGTTAAAGTCCGTACAATTTTTGAGCAAGCTATTGTCATCCAATAAGTAATTAGTTGTTGTTTTCTTATAGTAATCTCTTTAAAAACTCATAAATAGCTACGGAAGCGTTTTAAATCCACCCGTACACGGAAAACTAACCTCCTCCTTAAGTGTTAATGAAGGTATAACCCTTTGACGCAAATGAGTTACGCTTGTCCATTTCATATACTCTTTCATCTGATGCCTAATTACACTCAAATATATATTTTAGTATTTTTTAATTTAAAAAAAAACAGTCAAATTTTTTAACAGAAAAATTTATTAGATTATCGGAATTATATTTGTACTAAAATATAAAATCAAAAAAAAAAAGTAGTTCGAATTTTTTTTTTCATTCGTATTCAAAACTTTATTAATAACTCATGTTGTAAATTAAAGAAATTTCATTAATGAATTGCTTTTTCTCTTAGGTCTAAATAACTGCCAAATAAGTGAAAATTAGATAAATTATTATTTGGAAGTGAACCGTGTATGGAAGATTTTTCCTTTAACGCAGATAAAGATACCGGTGTTTCATGATGTTTCCTAACCATAAAGTAATATTTAACCATATTAATTCTAACCATATTTAATACTTGTGAAGTGAACCGTGTATGGAAGATTTTTCCTTTAACGCAGAAAAAGATACCGGTGTTTCATGATGTTTCCTAACCATAAAGTAATATTTAACCATATTAATACTAACCATATTTAATACTTGTGAAGTGAACCGTGTATGGATACACGGTTCATTATTAATACTAACCATATTTAATACTTTTGATTTATTTTGACCTAAATGAATTCAAAATAATGAAAAATGTGTTTAATAGAAATTCTGTGTCAAAGAGTTGAAGCGTAGAAATTTCAATATGTATATTATTAAATTGAAGAAACATTTTCTTTATCTTCAATAAAGCTAACAGTTTATTTTTAATTGTTTTATTTTACTCCGGTTAGAGTGTTAATGAGACTGAAACATCGCAGTTTATCCTGTTGCATGGTAGAATAAATTAAGGGAGATCGGAGTCTTAGAGAATTTAATAAATCTGATTTATCAGAAAAGTTCGGCAAGAGGAATACATTTTATCCCTCCCACAGTGGGCCAGCATCCAAGGTTTCGTGGCCAAAATTAGTATTTCGATAAAATTTGTTTCAAAATTTAGGGTTTTTTACTTAGGGGTCTTTATGTGCAGGTAAATTTAATTAATAGTTAAAATTTTGAAACACACTAAAAATACCCAAAAAAATAAAATGGCGGCTGTAATATGGCGAGCAAAAATAAAAAAAATTATTTAGTACGTTTAAATAATTAAATATAGCAATGAAAATATAATAATTTTCGTAATTTTATATTAAAAATGAAAAGCAAATTATATTTCCGAAGTAATATTACAAAATAACTCGAAAACATTTTTCGGTATATTTAGTCCACTTTTGCAATACGGGCAAAATGGGGCAGGTATTTTCGAAAGAAGAAACATCGAAGAAAACAACAGAAAAAATTTAGCTAATTACCTCGTGGAACTTTTTGGAGATAAGTTTCGAAAGTCATTCAAACATTGTAAAATGTCAAATGATAAGATATAAACTATAAGTATGTCAAGAGTATTAACTAATCCAACAAATTGACAAATTGTATTATAATTTCAGTTCAACTAATTACTCCGATAAAAATGTAACAGTAAGGTGAAATTCCTATATATATTTCTGAAATAAAGAATTTAAAAGTTACATTTAAAAAAACATTTAACATATTTTTCATTACATTGTACTCTTGTCGGTCTAAAAAGTAAATTATAATGTTTGGAATGATTATGAATACTTAATGTGGGCTATGCATATTTTATCTAACATACATACACATAATTGCCTAGACGTATTTTAGTTGAAAATTTAATTTGCGTCTTTTGGCCAAAGATCATGGTCTTCTGGCCCACAGTGCATTCCATTCTATTTTACAAAAAAGAAGAAGAAAAAAAGAAAGAAGGAAAAAGAAAGGAATAGTAATATTTTGAACATTTGAAAGCTAGGTCTGTAATCTGTGATACATTCTAATTTTTTAGCCTATTTAATAAATTTTAGATCAAGGAACTCATGAAGGGACTTGTAGCTTTCATTTTTTTCATCTCGTTTTATTTCGTAAATAATAATAATAACAATTTGAAAGCCAAGTTTAAATCTATAAAATATTTCATTTCCTCGGTTTATTTTTACGCTACTTAAAATTATCTAATAACTTAAAAAAACCATTGTCTAAGTCCATACGCTCTGCAACATTCTTTCGACGAGCTATTGTTTTTTTTACAAACATCCAATAAGTAATTAGCTATTTTTTTTCCAACCAGTAATCTCTTTACAAACTCATAAATAGCTATGGGAGCGGTAAGAATCCACCTGCAACATGGAAAACTAGCCTCCTATTTAAGTGCTAATGAAGGATGAAGGGAGGGGAGGAAAAAAATTCCATGCCGATTTAACCGGTAGATTACAAATTAACACAATTACTGCTGCAAACTTTGAAATGGTTTATTGTCTTTAAACAATAGAGTCCGATCTCCCTTGGAAAAAGAAATCGGAGAAAAGTAACTTCAATTTTTTTTTTATTCATTCTTTATACTTGTTATTTCTTTCAAAAGCTATATAACGATCTATTTGACCAACACCCGGGATACTCAGAGCGTGAAGAAAGGTAGAAAGGAAAAAAAAAAGAAACGAAAAATCTTTTGGAGTGTGTCGAGAATTGCCTCAAAATGAGATCAAAAAACCGCGCGCCGTGTTTTCGACCCTCCCTGCCATCTTTTCCTCCAGGGAATCGTTTTAACGGAGAGGCAGGGCATCGTCAAAACTTCTTCCGACACGGAATGCCCAATATTCGGGTCACTGTCAAGGCGAAGGTGAGATTTTCTATTCGTCGGAACTCAACAGACGATTTCTCGCATCTTAGAACGTCTGGAGAGAGGAATAGCTCTCCAACCTGTCATTGGTTGTATTTATATTAAGGTGGTGGAAAAAGTTTGGGAATTGTTTTTTTCTTTTCAACATTGAACTTAAATCACTTAGGGAGTAGTGAGTTATTGTGACTGACAGTATGGATTGGATTTCATCGGTGAGTTTTTTTTTCTTAAATTTCTTTTTAGAAGAAAAATAGTTTAAATAAATATTTCTATTATATATATTCTATTTCACTGTATATGCTATATAATTTTTACTGTACAATGTTTTTCGTAAATGTTTTAAATTGTAAAAATTTAACATTACTTTCAAACTGACGCTTGCATAAATAAATTAGATAAAATAAAGAAGAAAAAAAAGTAAATTATTCCATATTATAATTTAATAATTCTTCATTATTTTATTTATAATTCTTAGTTAATTAATAATTAATAGTTTTTGTGTTAAATAAATTTTTACAATAAAGAAAATTTGATTAAAAAAAGAAGTTTTTAATGGAAAATTTATTATTATTCATATTACATTATAATTTAATAATTCTTCCCTATTTTACCTAAAATTTTTAGTTAATTAATATTTAATAGTTTTTGTATTAAAAAATTTTTTGCACAAAGAAAATTTTATTAAAAAAAATAAATTTTTAATGGAAAATTTATTCTTCTTCTTCACTGTTTTATAAATAATTTTTAGTTATTAATTTTTAATATTTTAGTATTAAATTAATTTTCACCAGTAGAAACTTTTATTAAATATGCAGTTTTTCAACGGAGAATAGCCCCCGGACACAGAAATATTTTGGGCCCTTATAAAAAGTCATACTGTTTAAAATCGTACTTAAAAACTTCACACACATAAAATAATGCATTTTTGAGGTAAGATAAACACATTTTGATTGCTCCAAAAAACTCAATGCACATAAAAACTTCATTATAATTTAGAATACTAAATTTCGGTTGCCTTTTTAAGTTTTTCAGGTGATAAACTAGTCAAATTATTGTTGTTTCTATGATAATCAAACACTAATTTTAGAAAGAAAAACAAAAAGCACACTTTATACAATAGAATATATTTATTTTAAAAAAAAAGATTTAAAGCAATTTTGGTTATTCTTAGTGTTTTTTAAATACAATTTATGAAAAACAATATTCTCAAGGGTCCCGGGCACTGCCCGGGATTGCCCATTTGCAAAAACGGTACTGGGTATGGGTAACATACATACATCTTTTCAAAAATGCAGCTATATTAATGTGGTGCTAAATTGAACCATATTATCGCGCTTCTTTAATTTATTTATGCAATGTTCGTGCTTCTTTAGTTTATTCAACTTGGATGGAAACAAAATGGCTCAATTCAATGATTTATTAACGTTGCAGAAAAACTGTGTGCGGTTCAAGTTTACCGTTGTCTGTAATATTGGTAATTTAACATTTTAATGAAAAGGGAGCATTTCAAAAAGACGACGTCTGTTTGCAGATGCTTAAACGAATGAGAAATGTGATAAAAATATACTCAATTACGAAACTTCAAAGTGAAAAGAGTGGACACGCATCAGTTGTAGTTCTGTCTTAAAATTTCATCTATAAATGTCGTTGGTACATTATGTATGTCAAATGTCAAAGCTTTTCAAGTAAGAAATCGAAACAAGTTCGATTTACATAAGAAAATAAATAAATAATTAAAAAAGTGAAAAAAATAAAATAAATTAATTCATTAAATAAATAAAATAAATAAATAAAATAAATAAAATAAATAAAATAAATAAATAAATAAAAAAAAATAAATAAATAAAATAAATAAATAAAACAAATAAGTAAATAAATAAAAAAATATAAATAAAAAAATAAACAAATAAATAAAAATAAATAAATAAATAAAAATAGTATTTTTTTTAAAGTTGAAAATAACTTCCTTTTCAATCAATAACAAATATTCTCCGCAATCTAAAACAGTGATTGAATCTAAAAATATCATCGAGCCATTATAATCGAATCGTGTTGTGCGAAATGAAAATAAATTCTAATTCTGTAAAAATATATGCTTTTATAAGTCATTAAAAATATTTTCTTTAATGAGTCAGTAAGAATTAAATATATTTTTGGGCCTGAAAATCTCTCTTCCATACCAATAAAACCAACTCATCCGAACTAATTCTTAAAAAAATTAGAAATTTTATTCATTTTATTCCTACTACGGTACATTAGTTTCTGAATCAAAAGGAAGGGTTATTGTGTTTTAAAAATGCGTCTAACATAAATCCTTTTCTTTATGGTATATCTGGTAAACTACTCATCTTCAAGTTGATCTTTATCGGAAATGCTGAAATATACAATACTTCTTTTCTTTTCCTGCTTTCCTTCTAACCTAAATATATATAAAAAAGGATGCCATTGTCTCAGTGTATTATTCGATTGTGGATTGTCATTTCCGTTAACTGTTTGGGATATAAGTTTTAACTTAAAGTTAAAAGGATCAGTGTTTTAATTTATAAATCAAAAATGTTTATTCAACGTTGTTTCAGGTTACAGTTGAAGTACTTTTTTCATTATTCTGTCTTCCTTATGTAATCGTGCATTTAGCAGAAAATAAATTGCTTGTAGCTAAAAAAATATTCCCGCTAGAAATTTTCCTATAATTGACAACAGACTATCTCTCTCTTTTCATCGACTTACCCTCATTTATAGGATTTTTAGTAATATACTCTGGCTGGCTTGCTTAAACGGTTATTTTCTCGACTTTGATATCACAGAGTAAAGTTTTGAAAGAGGCTGCAAAAATCTTTGAAGCTTATTTTTTCAACGTTGATATCATAGAGTAAAGTTTTAAACTGCAAAAATCTTTAAGCCTTATTTTTTCGATTTTGATATCACAGAGTAAAGTTTTAAAAGAGGCTGCAAAAATCTTTAAGCCTTATTTTTTCGACGTTGATATCATAGAGTAAAGTTTTAAAAAAGGCTGCAAAAGTCTTCAAAGCTTATTTTTTCGACTTTGATATCACAGAGTAAAGTTTTAAAAGAGGCTGCAAAAATCTTTAAGCCTTATTTTTTCGACGTTGATATCATAGCGTAAAGTTTTAAAAAAGGCTGCAAAAGTCTTCAAAGCTTATTTTTTCGACTCTGATATCACAGAGTAAAGTTTTAAAAAAGACTGCAAAAGTTTTTATTTATTTTTCCGACTTTGATATCACAGAGTAAAGTTTTAAAAGAGTCTAGCACTTTAAAAGAGTCTAGCAAAAGTTTCTAGCACTTATTTTTTCGAGTTATATAACTCACAGTAGAGTTTTAAAGGAGTATATAAAATTCTATGACACATGTTCATTTCAGTTTAATATCACACAGTAAAGTTTTAAAAGAGGTTATAAAAATCTCTAACTTTTGGTTATTTGAATTTGGTTTTACAGAGAGAAGTTTTAAAAGAGGATATAAAAGTCTCTAACGGTTGTTTATTCTAGTTTGGCATCACTCCGTAAAGTTCTAAAAGAGGCCATAAAAATCACTAACTCTTGGTTATTCGAGTTAGATTTAAAGAGAAAAGTTTTCAAGGAGGATACAAAAATTTCCGACGCTTATTTTTTCGAGTTAAATATCATTGAGTAAAATTTTAAAAGAGGATATGAAAATCACTAACTCCTAGTTATTCGAATTTGATTTTACAGAGTGAAATTTTAAAAGAGGATATAAAAATCCATACGCTTGTTTATTCCAGTGTGACTTCAATGAGTTAAGTTTTAAAAAGGAACATAAAAATTATTAACTCTTGGCTTAACAGTTTGATTTTACAGAGAGAAAAGTTTTTAAAAGGAAATGCAAAAATCTCTAATGCTTTTTTTTTCCGAGTTTGATATTACAGAGTAAAGTTTTAAAAGGAGATATTAAAATGACTAGCGCCTGGTAGTTCGAGTTTTATATGATACACTATATTAACTGTGGTGTACTATCTCTTCGAGTTTGATGTTCACTGTTTCAAATGTCTAAAAAAATGGTTAAATAGCAATTTATTGAATTCTCATTTTACCATATTCAAACAAAACAGTCAAGTAACCATAAATAAGATGGTATTCAAGCTCTTAAGAAAAACCGTTTATTAATTGCTTTCACCTCATGCGGTTAAATAACCAGAATTTTATCGCATCATATAGACCTTAATTCTGGTGGCTAAGATATAGACTCACCTAATGGAGCCACTTAGTTCCTTGTAGATATATTATAGCTGAGAGATTTAATCTGTCAATCTCAAGACCGACAGCATGGGGGTTCGAGCCCCAACAATGACACAATTTTCCCTTCTACACATGAAGAGTTTCCAAGCGTCCTGCACAATTTCAGACCCTTGTCTAATAGAATACGACATTCTTTTTCGCTCATAAATCACAGCTATATAAAGCTACTAAATTGTCTCCAATGTCCAGTTAGATTTATTTTTTATTGTTTTAAAACCGTGCTTATTGTAAATGGTTAAAAAAAAACTTTCGAATTTTCGTTTTTTTAGCTACAGTACACTATTAGAAATTCTTCGGAAAAAAGGGTTAAATAACAGTTTATTGAATGGTTATTGTACCATGTTTAATCAAAACAGTGAAATAACCATAAATTAAATGGTAATCAAACTGATAAGTTTGAGAAATACTGTTTATTAGCTACTTTCACCTAATACGGTTAAGCAACCAGAATTTCATCGCACCAACTCGAACCACCTAATGGAGCTACTTAGTTCTTTGCTACTGCCTACATATCATAGCCGAGCGGACCTTTCTGTCAATCGCATGACCGGCAGAACTGGAGTTCGAGTCCTAGTGTTGACACCACACAATACTTCCTCCATTCCTTTCAACTCGTGAAGAATTTTCAGTGTCCGGCATTCTCCAATGCCCATTACCTTACGGAAAACCAAGCTCCTACGTCTAGTTAAATAATAATAATAATTTTTTTTTACGTTTTTGAGAAATACTAGTTGTAAATGGTTAAAAAAACGTATAGTTTCGTATTCATGGTTTTATAACCATATTTTTTGAAATGGTTATAAAACCATAAAGGAAAAAAGCGTTCTATTCCGTAAACATTAGAGTTAATCGGATAGACAGACAGCTGCCAGTTATTTTACCATAATTTTTGAATGAAAATTTTAACAGTGTAGTTGCTAACGGTTTCAAAACCGTAA